TTTTACTATTGTCTATTATTCGTATTGCATGACAAGAAAATTTAAAAGACTAGAAATATCTAGTTGGTGTTTATTAGGGAAATGAAGATTTGCCTATAGTTCCTGGCGGTGTTCCTGAGATTTCCCAAATACAGACCCACCAAACAGGCTATATTCAGACATTGCACAATTAAGAGCCATGTACTTAAGGATAACTTGATATTACTGGCTGCTGTATAAAACCAAGGAAGGCTCACTTTCCTTTTTAAGATGCTTGGGATGGGCTCTCATCTTTTATAACAGTTGAACATCAGCTGAAAAGTATGGGCAAACCCCATCTCTAGTCTAAAGGATGACTTGGTGAAAATTAGGAAAGTCATTCCTTCCTCAAGTCATTTAACTGCCGTCAGCCGCAACATTGTTTAACAATCCAGATCCACGGGGACACAGGACACAACCGTGAACAGGGCCTCCCAGAGCTGGACGGTGCAAAACCTGCACATTCAGCTTTACTCATAGGAGGATGGAAACCAACTCTGAGTCTCAGCACTTTCCTTAACTTGAAAATATCACTTCCCGTTTTGGGGACTGATTCTCCTCGTCTGAATAAAAGTTGAACTGGATAATCTCGTAAACAGATGTTTTGAGCAATTATGACGTGGCTTAGCACAAGAAGCATTTCACCAACTATTTAAGAACAACCCACTGTTGTTCTGTGCTCCTTCTGTCAGTCCATGGGAGGTGATTTTGGAAAGTTGTTATCAATGGAGGTACATTTTGTTCCAGACGATTCTTCCATGGCAAGACTGTTCCCCCCATTGCAGGACATTTAGTACCCTTGGCCCTCACTCACCAGATGCCTCAAACAACCCCCTAATCATTATGAGAAGCAAAAGCACCTCTTCTGCCCTATTTCCAAACACCCCATTTAGAAGTGGCACCACCTCTGGCTGAGAAGTCATTTTAGTATCAAGTTGCTCTCTGGCCTTGGAAATTTGCTTCTGAAACATGCCCTTGTATCTTTGCCAGAAGCCACAAAGGCCAGGAATAAACCTCTTTAAAAGGAGAGGGTGAAAGAGTAGACAGTACTTAAAAGAAAGCCATTTTTTGTGGCTTTTCAGAAAAACTGGGCTCCTTGTCTCTGTCATAACTAGGAATCCTGAAATTCAAACAAATTTCCTACTGATTTTATTGAATAATAGGCTGTGTCAACTCTCCTGCTCTTAAGAGCCATCGTCTTCGTGTACTTATAATGTGCATCATAATGATATTGATACGGTTGTCACTGATTGCTTTCAATGTACCAGCACTTTATAAATCTCATTTATCCTTTCCACAGCTATATGGAAGTGCATATTTATAATCCCTTACACAGATTAGAAAACTGAGGCTTAGAGAAATGAAGTATTTAGTTTGACCAAGCTCTCATAGTTAAGGAACTGACAGGGCTAGGATTCAAACTGAAGTCCATGAGATTGAAAAACTCAGTTTCACTGCCTTGGCCAATAGCTGAGGTGCTTTTTCAATTGACCTGCCTTTCAAGTAGGAGGAAAGTTAACTGAAATCCCTAACTTATGAACCAGGCTGTTGATAGTGACACTAAAAACAATTATTTTGCACTGTGTTCTGCCAGAGATGCGATTTTTCATTATTGCTAGGACTGCTCTCAACAGGATCACCTCATTAACTGAAGAAATTGTTCCCTGTTGTTCCGTGAAAGACGGATCAGGTGGAGAAGTATAAAAACAAACTCTAGAAAGTGATTCTATATTCCCCTCATTTGGGGGATAGAACAGTAATCCCCTTCTATTCTGATACCCAGCTTCCTAAGGGATGTTTTAGTTGTGTAGTTGCAGAAGGGTTTTGAAAAGGATGGAAAAAGTTTTACAGAGTTGCCTTCCAAAACTCTTTATCAGTGTTTCTTTAACAGAGTAAATTGGGGTGTTGAACCACATTGGTGAGTGTACTTAATACTTGCCTGTTTTAAATTTTCCCATGTAGGAAAATAACAGTGTGGCTAGATTGGTCACTATTAGCCGTGAGAAATAACTAATAGACTTTTTTTTTTTTTAATTTTAGAGGAAACTTGCACATGCAAACACTTCATTAAATATATTGATACACCTATTGATAGACATCTCCCAGGCCAAGTTTTGTAGAAACCATCCATAAAATCCTGTCACTTCGCTGCCCAAAGTGATCTTTTCAGCATTACGTCCGATGACAGGATTTGCATTTCAGTTAGAATAAAATTGAAACTCCTCCTGGTGGACCACCAGGCCTACAAGATCTGGCTGCTACCCACTCTGAGCCTACCCCTTCCCTCTTTCCTTTCACTCACTACCATCCGACTGCTTCGTTTTATTTATTTATTTATTTATTTATTTGCGGTACGCGGGCCTCTCACTGTTGTGGCCTCTCCCGTTGCGGAGCACAGGCTCAGCGGCCATGGCTCACGGGCCCAGCCGCTCTGCGGCATGTGGGCTCCTCCTGGACCGGGGCACGAACCCGTGTCCCCTGCATCGGCAGGCAGACTCTCTACCACGGCGCCGCCAGGGAAGCCCTGCTTCGTTTTTATGTCAGGAATTTTGCATCCACTGTCCCTCTTCATGGAACATTGTTCCCTCCAGATCTTTACTTGGCTGATTCTTTCTCCTTGTGCAAGCTTCAGTTTAAATTTCATTTCAACAGAAAATTCTTCCCTGATTCCCTAAGTTGGTCATTTTTTAATCTCCAATCACATTACATTTGTTTTTTATTTTCCAAGAGGACTTTTTTGGCATTTGAAATGACCTTGATAATTTTGTTTACTTGTTTATTTTGTTAAACAAGAATGAAAGCAGTGACTTTTCCCATCTTGTTTGTCATTGTGCCCCTATGCCTAAAATAGAACCCAGCATATAGTAACAGGGTTCAAGAGTATTTGTTAGGTGAATGAATGAACGAACGAATGAATAGGTTCCAGTTCTGTGCCTGGAAATAGAAGTCTCAGATAAATTACCACAAGGCACAAGAGTATTTATTGAGTGGTCCAGATCTACAGAAACATGGGAAAGTAGAGATTATAAATTTCCTTTTTATTATTCCTTGATCTGCCTGTCAAGAGCCGGGATTATGTTGAGAAGTAGAGATGAAAGCCAAGGAGAACCCAGAACTGCTTCACAGCATGAAATTTCAGACCTATCTCTCTGGAGATCGGCTTCTGCCTTTACAAGATACAGCTCTTCTGCTTACTCCAGCAGGCCCACCCTGATTCTTATCAAAATTTTCATGGTGAACATCAGACCATCCCCAAATACCCTATTTGACGCTTGTTTCTGGGCCCTCTCACGTGCAAAGGAAAACAAAAGAAGAAAAATCTTTTGACATCCTTCCGCTTAAAATCACCCCTACAACAATGACATCACTTATCTGGTCCCTGTACTAGCAGTGAAATTATATTGTCTTAAGTCTTTGGGTTTCAAAAATAACCTTTTTTCTTGTGCCTGTATATGTCCCAGATGTCCTTTTATTGAGTTCACAGAATACAAATGGAAAAAGGTTATTCCCAGACAGAAGTGTTTAAAAATGAAAATCAAACCTAATACATGGACTCAGACAACTGGAACAAGGAATATAATATTTATAAAACTGAGTAGGAGGTTGCAATCATTGCTCTAAAATAAATCATTAAAAATTAATTGAGAGCAAACCTGTCTGTGCTACAGCAAACCTCTCTTTCATTAAGGTAGCACTGCATGTTTTTCCCGAATTAGTTCCCCAAAATAGGTAAATAGCTTGTGAGAACTGCGTGTTCAGCAAATTACGGAAGATCTACATAAGGCACGATCTAGAGTTACCTGTAGTGTTAAAGCATTAGAGGCCTTTAATTTTGAACCAATTAATTGTGATTCTTGCAGTTTCTCTACATTTTTTGCCCTTGAGTATTACTCGGAAAGTTTAATTCACCTGGCTTTTATTCCTCTTCATTCCATTAATCCAAATGGTGCTGTGTCATTTGATTAATTCATATGTTACAGAATGTTAAATATTAGGAAACCGTGGGTGCCAGCTATGTGATACTTTAAATTTTTCCACAGATTTTCATTTCAAAAAGTTTACGTTCCACATTTTAAAAATGTTTTCTCCCAATCTTCTACTTCACATTATTACTATTATTTATTGTTATTATCATCAGTCATCATCATCACCACCATCATCATCCTCAGTTTCCTCCTTGGAATACACCAAAAAGAAAGAAGAAAAAAACTGCTAGTGTTATTTCTGCATTTACTGTTGGGATGAGATTTTTATTTTGCCCAATTTACACTATTCCTCTGAAGCCCTAAAATAAACAACCTTATAACCTCTAGGCCTTATTGATTTTTGAATGATTTCAAGTAAAAAGCATCCAGTTTCCATTGCATTGACAAACTGCTCAGTCCCTGGGCAAAACCTATTGGATTCCTATTAAATGGAGGGACAAGAAACAACTGAAAATCCAAAAGGTAGATTTGAGATGGAAGGAGGAGAGGTGGTCTTACTCAGCTCTGTAAATGGATATTTAACCTTTGACCAATGACGACAGGCCTTCTTTAGTTCTATTAGACCGAGAGCAAGCTGTTATGATTAAATAAAAGAGGAAAAAACTGTTTAGACCCTTCCTGAATATGTCCTGGGAATTAAGGCATATGGCAGGGATAAGGAAAAAAGATTTTCCTTATGCTAATGACCCTTGATGTCTGAAATAAATTAGATCCATTAGAGTTTATGCTCAATAAAAGAGGGACTTTAAGCACTCCAAAGTTAGTGACTCGAGACCCGTTTGGGCTCTGAAATTCAATCTGCCTACTTATTAATTCTTAGGGAGACTCCAGAGCAGACAGGAGATGCAAAATCATAATTCTGAACCAGAATTTTAAAGGACCCAGGTTTCTTCTCCTTTTATTTTAATTAAACCATTTTTCATGCTTCTCATTTTGTTTCCCTCATTCATTTGATTTTGTTCCCATTTTTGTTTCATTTTTTTGTTTCTTTTCAAGGTTTCATTTATCCTATTTCAACTGAGCAGAGAACCCAGAATGAATATGGATTTTCTTGTAAGTTTGATGTTTGGTTTTTATGTTGCTGACTAATCGTTTAACGTTATTGCCCCCAGTTCAAGTTTACCTTTCTTTGGATCACAGATGTGCACACAGGAAATAGGTGCCTAATATATTCTAACATGAAAAACAAATTAGATTTTCACTGCTGAAAAGAAGAAAGGGTCATTTCAAGCCTCTGCCAGCTTTAAAATCTATCAGTCTCCCATTCAAAGCTTAAGTCCCAGTAGCTGACAAACCATATCATGAAATACGTGGATCTAAATAAAGGGCAGGGTTCAAATGCTCAAAAGAAAAGCGCTGAGAAAATGCAGATCTGTTGACTTAGAAATCACGAATATTGAATAAGTAATTACAGCCTGGTAAAGTAAAACATTAAAGATTTAGATACACTTTCTGACCAGAGTTCAGAATGCTGCTGTAGGGCCTCAAATAAAACCCAGCAGCAAAGTGAAGTCCGCACTTTGAAAGTAGTGCTCACACAACCAGGAGGGCTTGGTATGTCACTGGTTTCCTGAAAAGATCCGTCAATATTGACTTGATTGATGCTTGAGCAGGTATTATAGAAACTTTGGGAAAGACAGTTGTTTAAAAAGAAGGGATTCTTTTACATACAGTACATTTAAACACAAAATCCTAAAAGAGATGGAACGATTTCCCATAGGGAATTCTCTTTTACTGTTAGTGTGTTGAAGATACATGACATGAGAGTGTGGGTGATCACGTGGGCCGGTGGCAATCAAAATGAAGAGTCATTTCACCACATAAACCACGTGGCTGTGAGTCTTAGGAGAGAGTAGTGGTTCCGTGACTTTTAGGAAGCCATGGGACCTACAAACCTGAAAATTCCCTTCCTGCAAAATGCACATGTAGAAAATTGAGCATAAGAAGGTTGTTCTTGACCATCTGAAGTACCAGTTTAATCACCTTTCACAGTGACGGGACCAGCTTTGGTTAATTTTGCTGACAGTTTTTGTGGGTCACGGAAAACTAATGATAGAGACTCAAAGATGTCTGAGGGATTCAGGAAAGGTTTCATTTTATCGGTTTGTTGTCTTTAAATGATCAGCTTTTATCACCATTTGCCGTTGGATCAGAGCATGTTCTGATGCCACTAAGGCAACATGCAACATTTACAGGATTTTTCTTCTTGCCTTACCCAGAGATAGACCTCCCAGCTGACCTCACACCATGTTAATCAAATGCTTAATTGCCTTTTTGGGGAGTAGGCTGACTTTTCTGATCGCTGAACCAGGCCTTTATCTTACTGGGTACACCATAGAGCTGTATTTTATTCCAGTAATGAGTAGCTCAAATGTAAATCTCTGACAAGTAACCGTGAGAAGCTCAGGGTTCTCAGAGGTAATACTGAATCTGTAGCAAAAGCCTGGAGTTATCAGCATTAACCTCTGCTCCCCAGATCTGGGTCTTCTGAAAGCCCACCTTTCAAACCCAACATGTTTGCTTCCAATGTTTGCTTTGCTTAGTTCCACTGTTCCCACCCACCCCTTCATTGATTTAGGGGAAAGTGAGAAGAGTGCTGTGGAAGGTAATTTGTGACTTGGAATGATACTTAGAAAAATATTCTGGTTCAATAAATATACAGATTCAGAACATGCCAGACGTTTCTAATAGAGTGTTTATGTTTATAAAGAACTATAAGAGAATTCAAAGCTGCCTTCCAAACTTTTCCACCTGAAATTAGTAATAAACTTTTTTTTTCCTGTGGGTTGAGAGGGCTTTAGCTCCAGTTTCTTTTTACGCCTTGTAATAAATGGTCTGTTATGTTGCCCAGTTTAAGATAGATTAGTGAGTGGATAGATGCAGAGTGAGAAAGAAAAAGAAAGAAATCAGAGATAATTTTCTACTGAAAGACCACAGTTTTATATAGCTTTGAAATTAACCTATAAAAAAGGCAATAAATGTCTAAAAAAATGATAGCAATACCTATGTGTACTGTGGGCAATTTCTCTAACCATTTAATTCAATGTTTCCTTCTCCCCTTTAGCTGCTCCTGATTCAGATGATGTTGCTCTGTATGTTGGCATTGTGATAGCTGTGATAGTGTGCCTGGCCATTTCTGTAGTTGTGGCCCTCTTTGTGTATCGGAAGAATCATCGTGACTTTGAGTCTGATATTATTGACTCTTCTGCACTCAATGGAGGCTTTCAGCCTGTGAACATCAAGGCAGCAAGGCAAGGTCAGTTGACATTGCACTTCCCACTTGGACTTATGCATGTAAGCAGCCTCCCTGTGTGTCTTCAAAATCAGTGAAATCACCGGGTTGGAATGCAGTTACATCAGCTGGAATGTAAACTCCATGAAGACAGAGATTTTCGTCTGTTTTGTTGATTATAACAAATTAGAGTTGACAAGGTGCACAGATCTTTTTTTTTTTTTTCTTCTCTAACAGGTTGCTCTGTCATACTTTTTTTTTTAAATATATTTATTTATTTTAATTTTGGCCGCGTTGGGTCTTCGTTGCTGCACGCAGGCTTTCTCTAGTTGCGACGAGCGGGGGCTACTCATTGTTGCGGTGCGCGGGCTTCTCGTTGCAGTGGCTTCTCTTGTTGCGGAGTACAGACTCTAGGCGCGCGGGCTTCAGTAGTTGTGGCTCATGAGCTCTAAAGCGCAGGCTCAGTAGTTGTGGCACACGGGCTTGGTTGCTTTGCGGCATGTGGAATCTTCCCGGCCCAGGGCTTGAACCTGTGTCCCCTGCATTGGCAGGTGGATTCTTAACCATTGTGCCACCAGGGAAGCCCTCTCTGTCATACTTTTAAACTTTTATTCGAAGAGTACACAGATTGGTTGATTGATTTCTTGAGTTTCCTTTTTTTTCCTTTTGATAAGACATCTTGTATTGCTATGAATACAGTGGTCTACAGATGAACCCAAATCCAGTATAGACAGGAGAAACTGTTACCTAGTCAGCTAGTGAGGATCACGAATCCAATTTGTTGAAATAACTAAGTACCATAGACACAATAAGTAGACTTTAAGGCGAAATACAGAATGAACTTGTCTGTTTATTTGTAGCCAATAATAAAACAGATCCTAGCTATCTAATTGTGCTGTTCTCAGCAGAATTTTAGAGTCTATCCCGTGCTAATATTTGTTGACTTGCTTTGCTCTTGGCTCAGAAAGTGTTGGGGGGCGTCTGGCTAGTGTAGGTTGCCTGAATGAAGAATGCAAATGGACGTTCCTTCTCCTTCTGACTCAGATCTCCTGGCAGTACCCCCAGACCTCACGTCAGCTGCAGCCATGTACAGAGGACCCGTTTATGCCTTGCATGATGTTTCGGACAAAATCCCAATGACCAACTCTCCGATTCTGGATCCACTGCCTAACCTGAAAATCAAAGTGTACAATACCTCAGGGGCTGTCACACCCCAAGATGACCTCTCTGAGTTTGCATCAAAGCTGTCCCCTCAGATGACCCAATCCTTGTTGGAGAATGAGGCCCTCAACCTGAAGAATCAGAGTCTAGCAAGGCAGACGGACCCATCCTGCACTGCGTTTGGCACCTTCAACTCCCTCGGCGGTCACCTTATCATTCCCAATTCAGGTAATTCTTAAAGGTCTTTACATTGCAGAGACAGAGCTTGAAAACTTATCCTTGTGCCAAAATCTTTATTATTTGTTTTCATGAGGCCTGAAAAGTTAAATGTATCCTGTCTAACCCAAACCTACTTTCAGTGTAAACCAAACATTACCTCAGTCAAAATCAGCAAAACCGTTTATCTTTCTCCAACCAACTCTGAAAACACTTCCTCTAGAAATATTACACTCACAGCTTTCTGCTGAGGCATAATTTAGAACTGTCATTGACCTTCTTTTTAATAGCGCTTCAGAAGGCAACATTAAGCCAGAAGCCCTCACTGTTGTCATCACACTTTAAAAGGACAAATTAATTAGAAAACATATCAGTTGGTTCAGTGCCAATTTCCTACAGGAAGCAGTACTTCAGAATACGAATGTTTAGATGATCAGAGGACATGATAACAGACATCAGATCTTCATTTGTTAACTCTGTATTACACAGTCTTCAGGTTCGAGGTATTTATAAGGTACTCACTCCAACCTCTGATATATCTACCGAGAATCACAGCTTCGTCACGTGTCTTTTTGTAGTATTACTCAGCTTTCAGTTTGTTTAGTTATCTGCTTCTAGAGCATAAAGCCCCATAACGCTCTTAAATAGTGAACTGAAGTTAGTGACTCGTAACGTTTGATTAAAGTTTGGTATTCATTAATCAGTAGTTGCAATGGGCTGGGAACTATCAGTTATGAGAGCGTTTAATGGATTCCTCTGTAAATGTACAGTAGCTCTTTTGGATCAGACAGATTATTTTGTGAACACAGTAAAAAGAAACAATTTGATTGAACTAAGGTTTATATGTAGCATAAGAAGAGAATATAATTTGTAAACAGCCATAGAGCCAAGTAATATACAGAGCCAGTTGGTCTTCACGTCTAAATATGAACTTGTCTTTGACTCTTCCTCTAATTCAGTCCCCCCTTTCAGCACCTTGGCAATTTTTCACCCTATATCTTTAGAAGTATATTTTAATAAATTGAAATATTTAATGGAATATCAGTTTTCCTTTTTTTTTTTTTTTTTTTGCGGTACGCGGGCCTCTCACCGCTGTGGCCTCTGCCGTTGCGGAGCACAGGCTCCGGACGCACAGGCTCAGTGGCCATGGCTCACGGGCCCAGCCGCTCCACGGCATGTAGGATCCTCCTGGACCGGGGCACAAACTCGTGCCCCCTGCATCGGCAGGCGGACTCTCAACCACTGCGCCACCAGGGAAGCCCCCATTTTTCCTTTTTTAAAATATATTTTACATAGCTGAGATCACACATTACATAAAGTGCTTTTATTCAGATTTTTCTCACTCTCGTGCTATTGCATGCTTTTTAAAATCATGATTTTAAATATATTTTTAATAGTCTACCAAATGAATAGATCAAAATATACTCTATTGTTCTTTCATTGTTTAAACATTATATTATTCCCAAGACAGTCTTATTTTTTCATGATATCCACTGGATTCTACCTCTCCTTTGCACTTCTACATCTGTCACTTTTTCACATATGAATTATTATAAGGCTTCTTAAGTGGAAAGGAGGGAGCTAGCATGTTTTAAATATGTTTTGGGCATCGGTGATCTGCATGCATTATTTTATTTAATACGGTAACGGTAGTTACCTAATAATGTGTCAGGCCTTATTCTTGTTACTTTACATCCATAGTCTGTTTCATCCCCATAACAAACATAAAGGTACATTTCATTGTTCCCATTGGAAAAAATAAAAATACTGAGGCTTGGGTGCCTCACGTGTGGTCTTCCTGCTTCCAGTCTGTGCCTCACCAAACCATCCTGACACGAGCGTGACATTCCACTTCCCACAACACCACAAGGCTCATGTTACTTTCCTTCTCAAGAAGGCCATGCCTCAACACTTTCAACCAGATATACAAAGGCTTTGAATAACTATACCTCTTTAACTCTCTGTCCTTTACTCTTGAGATGTTCCAACGTGGTTGGGCAGGTTCCTTATTGTCTTGTGCTCATATGGCGTATTCCATTGCCTTGCTAATTAAATAAGCTACTCAAAGACAAGAATGCTGTCTTTTACTTCTTGGCATTCACAGCATGCAAAATACTATCCTCACAATCATGTCTGTAAAATTTTATTGAGTTGAAATTAACTGCATTTATTAGAATAAAATCATGGAGCTAAGTATCTTCAAGTTGCTGCCCACCGTGAATTACTCTCTGATGACACCGCAGCAGTGCAAGCCCATGGTTCCTACAGTGTGGTCTACAGACCACCATCATTGCCATCACCTGGCGATTTGTTAGAACTGCAGTTTCCCCAGACCTTCTGAATAGAAACTCTAGGCATAGGATCCAGTAATCTGGGCTTTAGCAAAACCTGCAGGTGATCTTGCTGCCAGCTCAAGTTGCAAACCACTGCTATCAGCACAGTTAACTTAGAACAGAGCTCAATCTAGTAGTCCTACAAGATGCACCAATTAGCAACTAAGTAAAAACTTGCTTGACCTGCTGTGACTAAAACTAGCAGTTGTGTTCACTCTCTAGAGTTATGTATGATGAAAGCAGTTCTTCACCAATTATTATTCTGTTGCAGGAAAACACTGATTATAACCAGATACTTCAGAAATAAACATTTTTTGATACAGTTGAGGTTAGCATCTCCCTGACTTTGAATCTTGTGGGGATTTTTTTTTTTAATTAGAAACGATACATCATTACAGCTGTTTGAGATTTTAAGAGCAGTTGTTGGTTTTCCCCTCCTTTTACAAGGAAAACAACAGTGAAACCATCTGTCTATTCCTTAAATAAAACAGGAGTTTAAACATTATATCATTCCTTGAAGTAATTCCATAACAGTTCAGAGGGAGCTGTGGTAACAAATAAGGTCAATAGGGAAGGAAAGCAGGGCAGGTATGAATATTTACATGTCTTTAGAGAAGAAGCAGCAGGATTATGGCTGTATGGCCACAGAATCTCCTCATTGCTTTTCACTTGCTTCAGAGGCATTCTGGGAAGTTCCCTTTTGATTCCTAGGTCTTATGTGACTGCTTTTCTCTTTTGCTATTCAGGAGTAAGCATGCTGGTTCCCGCTGGGGCCATTCCCCAAGGGAGAGTCTACGAAATGTATGTGACTGTACACAGGAAGGAAAATATGAGGTAAATATGCTTTTTCTGGTGCACTTGACTTTATCAATGTCTGACTTGGAGGAGAATTGTACATGAGAAAGAATAAACCCAACATATTTTGTCCTTATTGCCCTGCTTCTGGCATGTCCTTTTTCACCGAGACCTGTAAAAGGTCAGTTTTTACTTCTCTTTATCTTTGAAGCTCCGGACACTTTTGCAGATCTTAAATATGGGCAGAAGGCCAGAGATCTTTTCCCAAGTGGAAATGTGGCCATGTTAACTGAAAAAAAAAATGGCCAGAAATGTGATCCATAGATTGTGCAAGAGATGCAAAGAGACATAAGCTTCACGTGGCCTGGTTCAGGAATCCATCCTGTTGCCATTATAGGGTTAAAGGCCACAGAGAATTAGACAACCCCTTAATCCCTGATTTGCCATCCCCACCTCAGCCTAGCACTTTATTCTCACCTGTAGATTCTTCTTTTTGGGACTGTCTTCTAGCTTTTAAGTGTTATCGACCTCTCCTTCTTATGTTTAGCACGTATAAAATCTATATTTCTAAATGGATCTAGGGTTGATTAAAACTAGATTGAATCCAAGGGCTATTTTGAATGTGTCATAATCGTAAAGATGAAGTTACTTTAAGTAAAAATAGCAAGAGGAGTTTCAAAGTCCTAAATTCAGTTTTCAGTTTGGCTTCTAACAAATTGTTTCTGGTCTTTCTTGATGAGTTCTCACATGAAGTGTGTGTGTTAAACAGTGCCTTATAGGCCTGACTGATGAATGCTTCTAAAGTGCACTGAGATCTTAAAATAAGAGATGACGTTGACATGAAGATCCTTACATGTAATTATCATTATTTTTCCTAAGGGGAAAGGCATTGGTTCCTCTGCCCTGAGCTCTGAATGCAAAGCATGAGTGACAAATGTAGAACTAGGTTTTCATTGTAAGGCATCATACCTTTTCTCTTCCCCTCTGTCATCCTCAGAAAAACATCTCTTTTTAGTCTCGTTCTTCAGTAGCTGAAAAGCTCTTCCATGATGCTCTCAGGTGGAGATGTTGGTATTTATAATCTGTAGGAGCCAGAACATTGTTTTCTTCAGGTGGTGTACTTTCACCTACACAAACACTAGCCTAAGAAAATCATAAAAATTCCTTGAGCATTATTCATGTGCCTTAAATTTGAGCAAGAGAAAATCACAAAGAGGCTTGTATTTGCTCACATCAAATATTCATTTTTCCATTCTCAATGCAAAGTAACATTCACAGGCCCTCAGAGTGCCCTTCTTTTGCAGCAGGAGAAATGAAGATTAGCAGACTCCAAGATTCCCTTTATATTTTTGTTTACTTCTTTCTTTTGTCTGGAGTCAAGGTTAGCACTAAACTAAGTACATCCATCCCTCAAGGCCTTTTGCCAACGTGGATGTTTTGTTTAAACAGAAATGAGTATTGGCTTGTGCTTTATGCTGAGAGGTAGTGAGGTGTTCGTGGTCTCTTATTTTTCATCTGATCACCATTATCTTTAGAAGATCAAGCCTTAAGGGGCTGCTGCAGGGCATGCTGAAACTGAAAGACATGGGCACTCAGGTGCCTCATGTGATTTTTCTTCCCACAATTTAGTCCGCACCCTGACCAGGATAATTTTACACTTTGGATGAAGGAGGGAGAAAACAGGAAATGGATAAAGCCAGACACTTCTGCTTTTAGTTTCCTCTGCCTTTGACTTTAAAGAAAAGGAAACTATAAATCACTCTTGCTATGCCTACCACCTGAAGTTAGGTGCAGAGGGAATTACTCTATTAAATTTGGTGTGCATCAAAGAAGTTCTGTTGATAAAAATGAAGCTAGAGGAACCTCAAGATCTCAAAAGAAAATATACACACAGAAGACCATGAAACAAGGAAAAAACAAGACAATTGTCGCAAATAAATGAGAAAGTCCTCTCCACTAATTTTCTGTTGTGAACTAGGTACGTTTTTCTTATAAAAACACAATGACAAGAATGTTGTCTTAGGGTATAGTGATAATACAAAACATAGCTACCATATAGTCAGCATACTTTTTTTTTGACAAATGATGATAAGATATACAATACTTTTTATTATAACTTTCATATAGTCAATTGATTCTTCCAGAAGGCTTTTACTGAGTTTTGCCAAACTCTTTTATGGTTATAATTCAGCCACAATTGGACAAAATCAGGCTATGAATAAATGCTTTATTACTATCTGATTTAGCAAAGAATTTATGTTTTTGATGAACAGAGGCAGTTTTGACCTGCATGTTCATTGTTATTTTCTTTTACATTTAAGACCAAAGTGAAACAAAAAAGATATACCTTGGAACTTCACTTGTTCGTCAATGACATGAGTGAATTCTTTGGGTAGTCTGATGATAGTTTTCGAATACTGGAAGAATATGCTTTGCCTCAATTTTTTGGTGCTATTTACGATGTACATCTACACACACGATATACTTTTAACTGCATTAACATTTTCTTAAGTCTAGGAAGTCAACAAAACAATAAACTTTAATTTCATTTATTCCTCACTACAACTCTGCAAGTTATGATGAGCTCCACCTTTGAACGTGAAAAGACTAGGGCTCAGGGAAATTGTCACAGAGCCAAGGTTTCACAGTTAGCAACTGAGGGAAGGCAGAATTCACACCCAGCTTATCTCCACGAAAAGCTCCTCTGCTGACCTGCCATCCCTCCTCCATAACACCCAGTACACAAACAGAGCCTCTGCCTTCATATTATAGAGCATTGCGGGACACAGCTTCTTTTTATTGCTCACCAAAGACCCTTTCTAGCCTCACCTGATCTTAGAACTTCTTTCAGAGAAGACACTGTGGGGACAACAGGAGATATGTTACTTCAAGGCGTTTATAGGAAAATTCTGATTGTTTTTCTCCATTTTCCCTCTCTCTGATGGCCTTTATTGCATCCCAAACTGGGTGTTTTTCCAGCTGGATGGTATCCAGCTAGTCATCTGGTGTTGTGAACTGTCTAAAGGGAGGTGTGAACTTAATTGCATGTGGCAAGTGAATGTGACAAGAGGGGGCCTTATCATTACGGAATATGCTCTAAAAGAAAGCACGGGATAGCAGATGAGCAGCCTGAATGAGCTGCAGAAACGGGACAGGCTGTCTCTGACCAAAAGGGATCTGAGCTGTGAGGCTGCGCTCGTGATTTCTACTTCTTCTGCTTTACACATCCCTGGAAAGGCTGCAAAGCCTCCCCCCCCCCCCCGCCACACCCCCGTGGATAAAGTTCCCACAATTAACGGCACTAACATGGACCTTTTTTGCCTTGTTTCCAGCAGCAGTTTAAAAAAATGAATCTGACTCAGACTGAAATTTTGCCTTTCATCATTTCTTATTGAAAAACGAATTGAAGTTATGAACGTTAATTTTTTTCTTTCTCTGTATTCTGTACTTGCCTAGCAGTTTTCTCAAAAGGCCAAAAAATCAATTTAGACATTCCAAATATAAACTGTGGGGAACCATGGAAGGTCTTTGAGCAGTCAAGTGCTGCAGGAATAACAGTGCTTTTAAAAGATTGATGTGGTGATGGTGTGCAGGATGAATTGGTAAAGGAAACAGAAAGACCCCCCTCAAAGGCTGGGGGCCCTGGTTGGCCCATGGCAATAATCAAGGTGTGAGGGGTGGAGGGAAGGAGCCAGGCCTGAGTCTGGAGAATGGAAAGAAAAATATGTTTCAGAAGAAAAAGTGTTTCACAACTGATTAGAAGTGTGGCAAAACACAAAGAATGTATTTAGGAATCAAGCCCTGGGCACTGCGAAAATTGTGAGAGCAATACGAAGGGGTCAGAAGCAGCAACTGGTTCAAGGAGAGAAAGGACAAATTCTGATTTAGCTGTGCACGGTGTGCGCGAAAGGGGACATAGGATTCTTGCTGGAGACGCAAATGGGAAGTCACCAGTGAGTGGATCTTCCAGGGAAAAAGTGCAGAGGCAGAAAGAAGAGGACTGGGGAAAGAACTTTGGGAAATATTCTTATTTAAGGTTTGGGTATGATGGGCAAAACTAAATAGAACGTGAAAGGATAAGGCAGATAAATAGAGTTGGCATCTAGCAAGGTGCTTAATACATAGTTGCTTCTCAATGAATATTTTTGAATGAAAGACTGAATGATTGTAATCATAATAGGAACAAATCAAAGGTAAAAAGAGTTTCAAGATGGAGGAGTGATTGATAGAGGTATTACTAAAATTAAACTGTAAAGAAGGAGAATGATAATTTAAAAATTATTGGATTCGTCAACTTTAGGACATTGGTTGCCTTAAGGATTTTTTTTTTTAAGGATGAAATCCCAGTAGGAAGCATTTAAGGTGTTAGTGGTGAGGCAATGAAGACTATCGTCATATTTACTGAATATAAATAGTAAAGTAAAATGTTAGGATAGTGGGCCAAAATGTCTTTTGTATGTAATCATATAGCAGAAAGTTTTCATTTATTTTAATGTGTTGTTTGGAACTTTGTATAATAGTAGGTGACATTTATTATTTCTCAGTGAAACTCAGTGATATTATCCTTTTAGGTAGAGTCCTGAATTTCTTGTTTGAAGTAACAGCTATAAAAAGACTGAAGGTAGAGGGCGGAAGGGTGTGGAATCCAGGTATATTTAAATCTTATTCTCTCACTGTTCTCCACAGTGTTTATTTATTGAAGTCCTACTTCTAAAGAAATGATTCAAGGTGATTCTTTTCAATGGGAGGAAAATTGTTTTTAAATAAGTGGATTAAAAAATGAGAAAATAGAAAACATAAGATTAGAAAGATAAGATAAATTCAGGTGAGCAGTTAGAATATAAAATATCTGGTGGAATTCCCAGCATATTTCTTATTAGTAGGTCATGAATTTGCTATTTCAAAGCTTTCAAGAGGGAAACATGGTAGGTTATAAGATCCATGTGTCCGAAAGGGGAAAATCTGCCTGGAGGAAGCTCAATTATTTCTCCTTCGGTTCCTCATAAAGAAAAAGAAATTTTTTTTTAATACAGTGAACAACATTCAAAAGATCAAAATAGCAGTGAGCTACACAGGGCTACTTCTGTTAGTGTCCCTCAGTGTGAGTAGATGATATAAAGCCCAGGGATAAATTCGGTAAAATGATTCCACAAGGATTCAGCAGTTCAATCCAGGGCACAGTATTTAGCTGTTCAGGCTTAATCCAGGGACACATTTTGGTCTGTCTGGGGAAATGGGGGCACGCCCTTCAAAGTGGCTTCCATAAATATTCTTTTTTGCTCAATTGATCTTTTGATAGCAAGTGAGTTAGATATTCCTTGTCAGATACCTAGAGTGCAAGTATTTCAAGTTGCCGGTTATACATGAAACTGTGTGCTTTAAAAGGCAGCTGAGCCTAGGGTGGGATTGTCATCCTGAGGGACCTGACAAAAGACATGTGTGTTGATAGAAGGCATCTCGTCTCTACACAGAGGTAGATGGAGAAAGATTCTTTTCAGGAAGCAGTTTTGAGCTTGCTGTAGCAAACATCACAGAAATTTCTCAAGGCTGTAAATCTAGATAAGCAACCCAGAATATACCACTGTGTGAAAGAAACCAATTGACTTGTTTTTGGATCCTAGCTTTGCCTATGACTAGCTTTGTGGCTTTGGGCAAGTGTGTTAATTTCTCTAGCTTTCAGTTTCCTCTTTTGGGGAAAAAAAAAAAAGGTAATATAAACACTTACCTTGACTACCTTAGCAGGTGTGCCCTGGGCAGCAAATGCAATAGCTTTTATGAAAGTTTTGTGAATTGTGCACTATGTGTAGGAGGAGTTGTCCTCGCTGATAACAGCAAGCAAAGGATAAGAAAATCTGACAGGAAACTAAAACTCCTCTCCGAGGGCTTTGTCCTAGAGTCCTCAGAACGCATCCGACATTTACCATGATATTATCCTTGTTGGACTTTGAAAAGCCTTTAAACTTTAATCATTGTTCATTACTGGATTTCTACTTAATTGCTGTTTCTGCAGCTAATTTTTGCTTTGAGTTTATTTCCATATCATCTGCAATTAATATTTACAGAATGTTTGCTTAAATATCTTAGAAAACACATGAGACATAATGAAGTAAAGCCCTTCTCTGCAAAAACATAAAACAGATTTTTTTAATATTTATTTTATACTATTTTTGTTTTATGTATTTTAATATCCTCCCTTTATGCAAATAAAGGAAATGTGGATTTAAATGCTCTGGTTTCACATAGTTAAATCTTAACCTTCCCTAGGTGGCTCCTTCCATATATGCTTGGAAATGTTTCCAATTTCAGGGCTACTTCTTTCATCTTGAAAACCCAAAAAGATTCTTATCATTATTACTTCTTTGTTTTCCATTCCCTGTTATGAATTCCACATCACCAATTCCCTATTCATTACATTCTTGCACCTCACTGGGTAAATAAATTCTTTTGACACCTACTGCCCCTTCCTTCCCTTGCTATCCCTCCTCCAAGAATGGTGCCCATCAGTATTGCATGCCAGGGGAGTGCAGGTCTGACGGCACCCCAGCGCAGCAGGGAGTCTTCTCCCTTCTGTTCCAACTCAGTGATGAGAAGAATCCCTCCTCCTCCTGCCTCAAGCACCCGCTGCTAACAGCAGACTGAGAGACAGATGCTTCCAATCCCCAACTCTATTGCAAGGACCACTTGAAATGGATTCCACTTTACTCTCTTTCTTTAAAAGTTTAATGCTCGTTCTCAAGATACACTTGTAACTAAAAGGTAAGGGTAGCGCTCAGGAAAATGCAGCCATTGCTTTTTTTGCCCCGGTAGGAAAAGTAGAATTAAACAAGAGTAGAGTTACTGTTTAAGGCAGATAGTGTAATATCAACTGTGGCACAATGAAAGCAAGACTTCACTCATGTTCTAAGAGAATGAATTTCAGACTGGAACAAAGGAGGACAAATTGCGTAAAGGGGAAATGAAAACCAAAAGGGGATAGTAATGAGTTCTCAAGCTACCACTCACCTTATAATTCCAAATATAAGTACATTTCCAAGTACTTTGATAACTTTAGATTTAATAAAACTATGTTATTATTCAGTGAGAATGGAGATGATATTAAAAGACTAAAAAGAGATAATTTTAAAAAATATTTTCCTGAATAGGAGGAAAAGAAAGTCACGGGTTGGGAGATTCTAGTGAAATTTTAGAATAAAAGAAGAAGCACTGATAGCCAAGTTTTACTAAGGGGAAAATATGCCAAATTTTAACTGAGTTTTTAGAACTGATGATAATAATCACCAAGAACTTAGGAATTTCTAAGATTTGACCTTACTTGTGACCTACCAAGTTGGCTGCCACAGTTTTGTAGATGCTGATAAATGACACAAGACTCCTGAGTCAGAGACAAAGGATACTTTATTGCTCACAGCAATAGCACTATCTAAAGTATTTCCATTTTTGTGCCAGTTTCCCAAGTTCTGAAAGGGTGATGTAAAGACAGTCAGAGGACATCTACACACTCAGTGGTTCCATTCCAGGAATATACCATTGAGTTTAGGGAACCTGAGGGTTTTATAATGGGAGGTAGACATGTCTGCCATTTGCTCCAGAGGTAAGCACTATCTTTATCTTCCAAGGAGATTGCTATACAGTTGTCTTGAAAGACAGTCGGGACCATGCAGAAACATGAGAGATCCGTGGAGAATAGTTTTCCAACAATATTAAAAAAATAATAACAGCTTCTATCATTCATTGAGTGTTAAGTGAGGGTAAGCCATAGATAGAAGCTAACTTCTAGATTATGTAGTATTTCTATATTAACCATAGATAAAGACTAGAGGAAAATCCATTTCAACTGACTGTGGCGATTGTAAAGGAATTTGATATGACCTTTGTAATATCCATGTGAATGAAATGGAAAGATATGAACTGGACAATGTACATTTTAATGGGTTTGTGTTTGACTGTACTAAACTCAAAGTATTGATGTCAGACTAGAGAGAGGTTTCAAGTAGTGTCCTTGAAAAGGTCTCTGTCTTTGCCCTGTTCTTGTATTACAGTGTTATCAGTGATTGGAATGAGAACATAAATGGCAGGCATATCAAATTTATGGAAGATAAAAGACTAGAAGAGATAGCCAATATATGGAGGAAAGACATAGCATTAAGAAATAGATGACCTGAAAATTTTCCTAAAACAATTAAAGTAAAATTAGATGGCTAAATATAAATTTCTCTGTATAGGTTCAAAAGCCATCATTGCAACCACAGACCTATAAAGAGAGACTAAGAGCCTTTCATGTTAGGAATACATAGTGGTTAGCTTTAACAAATTACTTAACCTTCTTGGGGCTTCATTGCCTCCTTTTATAAAGGACATGTTTAACCATGTTATCTCTTATCTTCCCATCTAACTCAATTCTGCTAAATAATACTTATAAATAATTGAGAATAATCTAAGGCAACAGTTTCGTGAGGCACTGATATAACTATATGTCCCAAAGCAGAGAGAACAGTAGTCCCCCTATACTGTATACCTGAGAACAGTCAGCCTTCTGTATCTGTGAGTTCTATATCTGCAGATTCAACCAACCTTGGATCAATAATATTTGGAAAAAACAATTTTTTCCAGGAAGTTCCAAAAACCAGAACCTGAATTTGCAGCACACTGGCAACTGTTTACGTAGCATTTACATTGTATTAGGAATCATAAGTAATCTAGAGATGATTTAGAGTATGTGGGAGGATGTGCATAGATTATATTCCATTTTATATCATGGTTATATAATTTTTTGGTTATAAAAATTTGATAATGGTTATATAATTTTTATATAATGGTTCTATGCCGTTTTATATAATACTGTGCCCTTTTATATAGGGAACTTGAACCTCCAGGGATTTTGGTGTCTGCCGGGGGGTCCTTGGAACCAATCTTCCATGGATACTAAGGGGTGACTGTCTTACACTCATTTCAAGATGCCTCACTCTAGGGAAGATAGTGAAACACTGACAGACATCTCTATGAAAATAAAGATAGAATTATAGGGAGAGATCAAGAAACCATGCTTTTCTAGTTGAAATTGCAAAAATTGAGGCGCTTTCATCTGGAAGAAGATGACGTTTTAGAGATACCGTAATAATCTCTAAGTGCTTGAGAGGCTCTTTCATGCCAAAGTGGAGAGAAAGCCGGTCAGGATATGTGGAGAGAAGTGTCAGGAAGACAGATTGTATTCATTCTAAGTATTGAGTTGATAATAGATGAGTTGACCCCTCAGTAGTAGTGGACTGCAATTTTGGATGAGTTTAAAGCACTAACCACATGTCAGCATCTTGTAGAGAAGCTCTGTGCTTGTTGGCCCTGAGGGCCCTTCCTCCTCTAAAATTTTGTGAGTCCAGGATTTCTTAACTCATACTATTCTGACAACATAGTTGTATTGTTTTTGCAAAGGCATTGGTTGTAGTCCCAGCACCAGTGCTTGTTAGTTGTGAGACTTGGGGCAATCCACTCAACGCTTTGGCGCTACTTCCTCACATATCAACTGACAGCTTGGGTTAATTTATTCATTGGCTGTTGGTTACAATCTTGTTGGGGGAAAAAATAGGCAATTAAAAAAAAAAACATGTAAAAATAAAGAATTTGGATCTTTGAAATTCGTTCCACCCAAATTCTCAGAGTATGAAGTATACATGTAGAGCAACATCATTTTAAATTGCTATAGAAATACAGTTCTACCTTCTTTCTTGGTCATGTTTGAAAAAAATGAATCTGCTGTACTAGCCTGAATTATTCCTGAAAGTCATTTGGAAGAAGTTTAGCTCTAGGGTGTCCTTATTCTAAAGTGATTTTTTTGAAGTGTTTTTCAAGTTAGGTCCTAAAAACACGGAAGTATGTAAAACTCTGTGAAACGACTGGCAAGTATTATGAGAAAAGATGCTTATGTAACTTCATAAGGACCCTGTTCCTTCTCATTCCATCCTGAAAGTATCAGTACATGAATTCAGAGGAAATTAGCAAAGGCAGACCTGTGTCTGAAGGGAGGGATCAAAGATATGCAGGCAGATTCACTATTATTAGAAAGACCTCAAGTCTTGCAAGATCAAAGTCTTGGTATAAAGTGCATGTCTTCCCATTTAATTCTGCCTCAACCCCACCACTGCTCCCTGCCCCCGACCAAAAAAAAAAAAAAAAAAAAAAACTCCAAGAAGCAGCTATTTGTGCAACTTTAGATCTGAAATCTCAGTGAGTACGTAGTATATAAATACTATGGAACTTGCATGACGCAGATCTCTGCTCTCCTCCTAGGCCGCCCATGGAGGACTCTCAGACACTCTTGACCCCTGTGGTGAGCTGTGGGCCTCCAGGAGCTCTGCTGACCCGCCCTGTCATCCTCACTATGCATCACTGCGCAGATCCCAATACCGAGGACTGGAAGATACAGCTCAAGAACCAGGCAGCGCAGGGACAGTGGGAGGTGAGCTTCTGTTGAGATAAAGATAGAACCCAGGAGCAATCCATGCAGATAAGCAAGGGCAATTATGGGAAGGCTTTTATTTTTAAAGCAACACATGAGTGGAATTTTAGCTTATACTCAAAATGAAAGAGAGAGGAACAGAGAGAGGAAGACAAAGAGGGGAGAGGGGGAGACAGACAGACAGACACTGGTTCCTGAGTGTTTTATCTACTGACTGATAGGCACAAAGAAAAAGATGGTCAAGCATTAGCTAACTCATAGGGAAGGTGTACTTAAGAGTCTTACATAAGTCCCATTTGCATATACATACTATCTTGGGAAGGGAAACTATATATATATATATATTATTATTTTAATTTTCAGGTAGAGAAACATTGCACCTGGGTCAGAAAATGTTAGACGCTTACTTGCTAACAGGTCCCAGGAATATAGGTCTGAACTTAACCTGGCAAAACAGGAAGGGTGTGTCCTAAGCTCCAGTACAATGAAGAACGTCTTTGGCAACTTGACTGTCTGTAACTGCTGCCATCAGAACTTCTTAAGGACAGTGCCTTAAACAGATCGTGTTCTTTACATCAGAACCCTGCAGTTAGCACCTGAAATTAAGTGCAAAAGGATGTGTTATATTTACCACGAATATTTTATACCTAAGACCTAAAAAAAAATGATTTGTGTAGTCATTATAAAGAGAATTATCCAATATGCATGTTGGATATATTTTGTGATTACTTACAGTATTTTTCTATTTTTATTTATTTATTTTGGCTGCATTGGGTCTTCGATGCTGTGTGCGGGCTTTCTCTAGTTGCGGAGAGCGGGGGCTACTCTTGGTTGCGGTGCGCAAGCTTCTCATTGCTGTGGCTTCTCTTGTTGCAGAACATGGGCTTTAGTAGTTGTGGCTCGCGGGCCCTAGAGCTCAGGCTCAGTAGTTGTGGCCCATGGGCTCAGTTGCTCCGTGGCACGTGGGGTCTTCCCGGACCAGAGCTCGAACCCATGTCCCCTGCATTGGCAGGCGGATTCTTAACCACTGCGCCACCAGGGAAGTCCCTCAGTATTTTTCTTTTAGGAAAAAAAAATACGCATGAAGACTCAAACCCCTAATATTTTAGGAAAAAGTAGTAGTGGAGGTAGAAGCATAGCAGGGCATACCTGGAATTACCTGGAGTGTCCCCTCTATATGGATGTGCTCTCCTCTTGACCACATGAAGGTGAAGGGTCACTCATTGCCAGAGGTCCTGGATTGACGTCTAGGGCTATACATTACGTGAAGAGTGGACTTTACCAGATCGAACTTCAATTCCATTTAAGTTTAAATGATGTATCTCAAAAACATCCCAAAGTCTTTATCTCAAGGGATCCTAAATTATTTGCACAATTCTCTGCCTATTACCCTAATACCCTATTTCTGGATTTGAGTAATAACAACAATAATAAGAGGAAAAGAAAAAAAAAGATGTGAAGAGTAGAAGAAGGAAGTCCTTATGAAAACACTCTTCTATTTGTGACAGGAACATGGAGCATCTTTATTCTCCACCATTTCTTCTAGGAGATTTTTTGTAACATGCCATCAGGAAATGACACTTGAGCCTTGCCCTTGCCGTGCTGGAGAAAGCAGCTTCTCTGCAGGTGTCCTTTTGGGGCTGGAATAAACGTGGAAGTGCTGAGCTCCTTTTTCTCCTTTCCAGTTCAGTTTAAGCTTTATCTTTGGGTACAGGTTTAGCTGAAGAAATGATTTCGTGGATGCTATTAAAACACAGTCCTTACTTTAGCTTGGGTGATGTTGCATGGCCTAACTAACAAACAGCTACCTGAGGTGGCTCCTTTCATAGCTTTGTCCAGCCCCAGGGACTCAATTTATGATGAAACATTTGTTCATGTCTTTGACAAATAACCATTTGTTCACCATGATCCACTGAGATACAGTATGAAGCAAAGAAATTATGGTTGCTGTCTCTGCAGAGATTAAGTAGCCTAATGCAGAGGCTGAATCATGCCCACACATGGGTTTTATTTTTCCCAAATGAAATTTTCTTTTAAATTTGAATTAGTTAAAAGTTGGAAGATTTCATATAATAATCTGAACTTATAGCCTCTCTTGAAAAACTAAAGGCTGTGTCCTCACTGGTCCTGCATTCCTGCCATGCCTGGTACTTTTACTGTCAGCATCTTTGCCATAGACATCTTTACCACAAGCATTTTTGCCATATAACTAATTGGCCTTAAGGCAATTTTGCTGTAAAAGATAAAATAACTGGTGGACAGTTCGGTTTCAACTGGTTGACAGCTTGGTTTCTTCTCTCCACTGACACGGTACTACCATTTTTAATATTACATGAATCTGAAAGAGGCCAATGGCCAAAAAGGCACCGAGTCGAGCCCACATGTCCCATAGAACTTTGGAACATCTGTCAAGGGACATGTAACAATATGTACCAAGAACAAACAACAGTGTAGGGGCTTTCACACCATAATACAAAGCTCAGTTATAAATATGCATCCCAGTATGTGGAAACTGATACCTCTCTTAATGAAGAAGAAATTTTAGTGAAAAAGAAAAGTGGAGTGCCAAATGAGGAGCTGAATGAACAAGCAAAAATATGTATAATCCTACAAATGAAAGACTTTGAAGACAAGGGCTTAGGTACAACCCACTAAATAAAATCATTTGTTTGCACAGTACTGCCATGAATCTACACACATTTCAAATGTTCTTAAATATTTTGTAGTTCATAATAAAGTCTTTTTACTTTTGTTATTCATTTTTCATGTTTTTTTATTTTTGTTAATGTCCCTCTTTTATTTATTGCTGTTTCATCTTTTACAGCAAAATTGCTTTACAGCCAATCAGTTATGCGGCAAAAATGCCTACGGCAAAGATGCTTACAGTTAAAGTACTGAGAGCCCACCCCTGCATGGCCGCAATGGCTGAAGCCAAGCGGAGACTGAGCTCTGTAGACAGGCTTGTGCTCTGCTTCACCACAGTCTCCACCACTCCTTATTACCTTCTGCCCTACCTGCTTCACACATTCCTGTTACCATTCTGCCCTGGGAGGCATGTGGAATTGTGACCCTTGTTTTATAGATTCTATGCTTGGTCTTTCAGATGATTTCTTCTATGGCCTGAGTCATTTGGTTAAATCAAAACCTAGTTAAGTTAGTAACTATTTTTATAAAACTCATCAGTTTCACTTATTTTTATTTCTTGCTGAATGTTAACAATCTAAAACGTGAGACTGCTTAAAGGCTTACATGAAAAATAAACAGAAAAATAACGTGTCAAATGCATAGAGTTTGCCATGCTGTGCTTTTCGCAAAGTCCAAGAGCCCAGATTATGAGGAAAAGCAGTGTATTACTTTGGAAAGTAAGTGATGGGTGAGTTTGGAAGAACTTAGTAGACTGGTATTGCATAATTCTTTAATTTCCCTAATTCTTTTTTAAAAATTCTTTTCAAACCCCTAGATTTTCAGGGGAAAATACTATGCTAAAATGACATTGAAATAAGATAGTACTTTTGGATGAAATTAGCAATTTAGAGATTAAAGCAAATGATCAGAAACAGATAATCAACTCAAATATGCTGAAGTTAAAAGGATAACTTATACGTTTCTTTTGGAATTTTAGGTCGATTCCAGCAATGTAGATTCCTAGAAGATCAAAAAAGACTAAATGAAGATCTTCTACATAAAGCATGTTATCAGCATAAAGGCAAGGGAAGTAAGGGAGAGAATGATTAAGAATGGAAATATTGATAGAAGTATAATAAAGTCAGAGAAAGAAAAAAAGAGCAGGAAAAGGAGTAATCAGAACTTGGGAGGAGAAGTGCTGATCTGTGCACCCCTGTTGGCCACCGTCACGGCAGCCAGGAGGCTCAGTCGCTGCCCCTTCCTTCTCGTCCCACAGGATGTGGTGGTGGTCGGAGAGGAAAACTTCACCACCCCCTGCTACATCCAGCTGGACGCAGAGGCCTGCCACCTCCTCTCTGAGAACCTTGGCACCTACTCCCTGGTCGGGCAGTCCACCACCAAAGCAGCCACCAAGCGCCTGACGCTGGCCATCTTCGGGCCGCTCTGCTGCTCCTCTCTGGAGTACAGCCTCCGAGTCTACTGTCTGGATGACACTCAAGATGCCCTGAAGGTAAGTGACTCCAGCCTGACCCGCCCACCTCACACCTAGAGACGACATGTGTTATGTACAGTGCTCCCGTGTGCATGAACACAAGTGTCTGGCCCCAGAACATGGCACTTACAAAAACAAATTAGACATTTCTTGAAGCCATGCTGATAAAGAAGCTGTCCATTACGCTGATTCCTCCCGAGGGCTACTTTTGTTTATTACCCTCCTTGATTTCTTTTAATGAAAAATTTAGAAGTGGGAGAATTTGGCAATGAGACCTGTGGATGGTAAATAATCTGCTTCCTTGTTTGTCTCAGCTGTGTTCTTCCTGTAAAAGGAACTGGCATAATTGCTCACACTCTATGTTCCTCTTGTGTGCAACTTCCTTATATGCTCTCCCATTCTTTTTATGAGGACCGTGAGGAAGAGGGTTAGCATTTGACAACAGGCTGCTGCTTTACAGAATAAATAGGCTTAATTCTCGGTGCCATTATTGCCATTCATTTTCTCCCATTTGAAGCTTTAAAGGATATAGTAAGTGCCTCTGAAGAAGTTATGATCTGGAAAGAGGAATAAAAGAAGTATGCAAAGGATTACGAAGCAAGTCAGAGTGTGACACATGCTGTAGATGAATGCAGAGCTCTGTGGGAATTCAGGAGAAGGAGGCATCATATTATTTTGAGAAAATCTGAAAAGGAGCTAACATTTGAGATTGACCTTAAAGGAAGGCAGGGTTTGACCAACAGTAATGGGGAAAAAAATACAGGATTTCTGGGTGAAGGGAACAGCATGAAGAAGCACAAAGGGAACAGTAAATACAGATTCTATGTGGCATGTTATTTCCAGAAAGCCTAGAATGATTGATAGGAGGTTTTTGGGAATGGACCTTGACAACCAGAGAGAGGAGTGGAGATTCAGTTTCTTGAGTTAATGGAGAACCACTAGAGAGATGTAACTAGAAGATAGACATGACTGGAAATACATGTTAGAAATACTAGTCTGCTGTCAATGAAAAGATAGAATCGAGTCAGGAAAAGCATGGTAGAGCTGGAGTGAAGACAGAGGAGTTAGAGGAAGGGAATAGGTACGAAAGCCCTATTAAGTAACTCTTGCAGGCCCTGGTGACTAACCCTGAATGGGTGGAGCAGAAGATCAAGTCTGCCTGTAAGTAACAGTAGCAAACTCAGGGGCAGGTAGCTCTGGACTGTGGATATGGTGACTTTGCCTTTGGAATATTGAATTAGAGGTATGGATTAGACATCAGGACAAAGGTACCCCATGGACAGTTGGAAATATAGGGGTGGCTCTTTGAACAGAGAGCAGTTCCTGAGACAGAGACTCAGGAACCAACTATATAATATTGATATTTGTCCTCCATGGTGATTGAGGAGAATATCAAGGGAGAGTAGAGGGAGAAAATAATAATAAAGTAATAAACATCACCGAGAATTTCTTATGTGCCGGGCAAGATTCTAAGTATCTTTTCTTAACTCATTGAATCTTTACGACAACCTGTAGGACACCATTATCCCTATTTTACAGGTGTGCAGGGCACAGAAAGGTTAAGTAAGTTGCCCTAGGCCACACAGCTGCTGAGTGGAGAAAGCAGGCTTCATTCCCCGGGCAGCTGGCTGCAGTCTGGACTCTGCTCCTAAAGTGGGCTGCTCGGAGAGCCACACCCTAGAGCCCAGGGACCAGGGGAGCCCTGCCATTGCAAGGGAGGAGGGGGGCAGCCAGCAAAAGACCTACAGAAAGAGGAGTACCCAGAGGAGGAAGGGGAGAAGTAGGAGAAAGATGCATCTAGGAAGCCAAGAGAAGAATTTTTTTTTTCTTCTGAAATTCAGGGTATTTCCTTCTGGAGTTTCCATCCAGAGAATAGTTCTGGGTCATGAAAACTGAGTGTTGTAGGTTGTGTCCATGGAGGAGATGAGACATATTCGGTCCCTGGGTATATTTTTGATGGTTGAGCCTGTAGGAGTTTCTGATGTTAAATAAATGATGCGAACACACAGCTCTAGTGTAAAGCTTAAGGTTATGTCTTTTGTATTCCTTGCCAATGCGATACTGTTAAGGCACTGTCTGGATAGAAATCATCGTAGGCTTAAATCCTTCTTAGGAAAAACTGTATTTGTAGGCGAGCCATGGGGTCTGATTAAGGCAAATCTTCTTAATAATTCAAAGAGAAATCATTACAAAAAGCATCTGTGGAAGATCTACATCATATTTGAAATATCTGAAACACATTTTATATTCACACAAATAGTTCTTATACTCAGTATACTCAGTCGCTCTCGACCTTTCTTCTCAAAAGACGTACAATCCATGCAAAAAAAGTAATATTTCATAAAATAATTTTGATTATGTTAATTAGTGAAAAGAGATGAGAAAGACGGACAAACAGGTTTGAGAAGTAAAAACAACCCAAGAGCAGTTTATCTCATGGTCAGTGCTTTCCAAATAGACATATATAAATTCTCAGCATCTGGGGATCCAGCACTTAGTCTGAAAGAAAGATGAATAATGGATAAGGCTTTCTTGTACCTCATGATCGTTTAATAATGCAGAAGTACCAAAATCCTAGTTATAGGTAAACCAACATACCGAAGAGACAGCTCAGTCCAGCCAAAACTGCCTCATGCCCATGCTTGAATGGGAACTTTGGGGCCGATTAACTGAGAAAGGCCCTTCATTACCTAAATTCTGCCCTCTTGGCACCTCGCCTGCTAATGCTCCCGCCAGCCTCTCTCCCATCGCCCTGCTCCTCTAACTTACCCATAAATACTGTCTTTTGCATCTCTTCTCCAAATACCTCCTCCTTCAGGCCCACCGCACTCCTCACTTATGCTCGTCCTAAATCCTAAATAATAATTCTCTATCCAGCGCACGTAGGAGTCAGTTGGGAAGCTTTAAAAAGAGACTTGTTGGAGGGTCCCAACCCAAAGGTTCTGATCCGATCGGTGTAGGTATTGGGTTTGGTTTTTTGTTTGTTTGAGCACTGCCTGGGTTATTCTACTGTGCAGCCAAGGTTAAGCTCTATTACACTAAACAATTTCAGGGGTCTTTTTGGAACTTTCATCCTACTTAGGACAAACTTTCCTGTATCCTCAAATCATTTTCTCACCCATTCCTTCACCTGCTCACATTAACTGCAGCTGGATCTCCCAACTAACACGTATCACTTACAGTCCCTGCAGTGAGGACCGCACCCCAACCCACCACAAGTCCAAGAGGAAAAGTTCCAATACGTCTCATATCCCTGACCACTTCTGGGGCGTTGCTCTACTTCTGGGCTGGCCTTTTGGTTGTTTTTTCTTTATTCTGTTACTCTGTGTTCCATTACCCACTTCAGTTCCTTAGTTCAAATCTCCACCCTAGCAGTACCTGCCTCGTCTTCTTTCTTGCCCCTCCTTTTATTCCCCTCATCCTCTCAAATTCAAAGTCACCTCTTATTCACAGTTCCTTTGCCCAAGTGTATTCTAGTAACCTTTACATCATTCTTCATTATCTACCCACTAGGGTAGATGTACCGCATCCTCAGTAGGAACTGCACCAAGATCTCCACCAGCCAAGGTCTCTACCTGTGAAAGCCTCTGACCTTCCATCTCTCTCCCACAAGGTGCACGAAAGCTGCTCCTTGTTTTGAAGGAAAACCTCCGTCCACTGTCCCTGGTCTCCTGGTCCACAAACCTTCATCTGCTCTTACCCGTATCTACAGGGAACTCACTTCCACTCAGAAATCTCTTGCCATCTAAAGCTGCTGCAGGCTTTTCTAATTTCCATCGCTACATATGACCTCCACTGAACAAGCCCTCTATGTCTACTTGCGGCCTGTTGAGCTTCTCTAAAAAAATCACAAGTTCCTGGTTGAGTCCATTGTGCTGTCAAGACCTCTGCCCTAAGCGGCGGCGCTCCGGCTGCTCCGCAGCCCTTTTACGTATTTCTCCTTGACTCGTGAGATTTCACACAGCCCTTCTTCCGAGCCTCTCCCACTCTCCCCGAGTCCCTGACGGTACCGCAGCCCCTGCATGTGTTGCAATGCTCTAGCACCTATGGCACCACTCAAGGGACACTCCCTCAGCTGCTGTCCTTTACCTTTCAAACCTTTTATTTCAGCCTCTTCTCACCTAGTCTGGGCTCTGATGAAAAGGAGCTCGACTTCCTTGTTTGGGCTTTAATCTAACTCCTCCACCACCTGTGTCTCCAGCTAGCAAGTGATGCCTGCAAGTGGGCCTTCCCAGACTTGATGTTTTCTTAGAGTTACTACTGCGGACTGGGGATTCTTTCTGAATTGCAGAAACCCTCACAGAAGGTTGGACGAGGGCAGAGAGGGAAGCTCAGTGCAGCACTCATTCTCGGGGGTCAGAACTACACAGTCTGGAGAGCTATTAGAAAGAAGACTGGCCCCGTGTCTGGATCTGAACATATTGATAATATTAATTCCCACTTATTATCATATTGTCCTTGTGGATGGGGGGAAAAAAAGATACCACATCAGTCAGTCTCAGCAACCCTGATGCATTCTTTCATCTTCCCACCCACCTCTTTGAGTTTGGTAGCTTTTGTAACAATTTCCCTGAGTTTTGTTAAACCTGGAAGCAAAAGTGGTCATCTGAAACTTAAAAGCTGTATTTAGCAACGTGGAAGCATTAGTGCTGAATTAGAATGCTGGCATTGACTGCTGGAGTAAAAGTCAAGGCTGCCAGGAGACAGTGGAATTCTTTTACATACCTTTCAGGTGTTTTTTGTTTGTTTTGTTTGTTTTTTTCCATGCATGTGCTAGAAGGACCAGTGAGAGCAGTGAGTGAGTTGAGTTCATGTAAAGGGATAAAGGTGCTATGAATTGTGAGAATACCTTAGAATCAGTTCCATTCTCAAATAAAGAGGTCACATCTATTGAAAGGATTGAGTTGGGTAGGTCACAGCTTTTCTCCTTACCTCCTCTTCAGGTGATTAAAGTAGTATTGTTTTTTTCCTTTCACTGTTTGCAAAGACTTAAATCCTAATATAAATAGACCAGAAAT